AGTTAGCCTAATTTTAATAAACCTTTATACTAAAATAGTAATAGCAAGGGCTAAAATTAAATATTTTAAAATACTTACTTAAGGTATTTTTAATTTTTTAAATCCAGGCTTTATTCCTGCTAACTAGTAAAAAATTATTTATATATATAATAATAAAAATCTTACTATTAGTAAAGACTTTTAAGTTTAAATAAATAAAATAAAAGCCTAGCATGGCTAAAAAATTTATAAGTAATTAATACTAAATTTATAATACTTATTTTAGGTTATAAAAAGCTTTTTTAAGCTAGTAAACATGTTTAAAGCTATTAATAAAAAGGTAAGGTTATTTTATAAAAATTATAATATTAATATCCTTATATAAAAATGCTATTTTTATATTTATTTATTTAATTTTAAGGTTTAGCATGGTAATAATAATAAATAAAAGCTTATAACTTATTAGCTTTATTACCTTAATAAAAGTTTTATAATAATTAAGCTTATAAATTTACTTAAAGCTATAAACCACCTAGTAAGCTTTATAGTAAAAAATCTAGCCTTTTAATTTTTTTTTAACCTTTAAAACCTATTTACTAGGAAGTAAGTATTTTTTAAAGGGTAAGTTAATAAGGTTTTAAGTTTTATTTTTTATTAAGAAATTATATTCTTCCTGCATGCCCTTAAATTATTTATTTTATTTATTTTTAGCCTTAGCTTGCTAAACTATTAGTTTATCCTTTTTAAAAATTTACTTATAAAGTATTATAGCTAGTATTAAAATATTATTTAAGCTAGGATTACTAGCTAATACTTAAAGGTTATTTAAATAAGGTTTATTAACTAGGGTAATTTTATTCCGCGTGGCTTTAAAAGTATTTTAAAAATAAAATAAATAGGCTAGCTTATCCAAAATTTAAAAAGCTTTTTTAAAATTTATAGTAATTTAAGCGCGTGTATAATACACTAGGCTAGTATTATAGCCAAAATTTAAATTTTTTAAAAATATATTAACTTTAATAATTAATTTAGTGGCTTTTACTACTAAATCCTTAGGGTTTACATACCTAAAAAGGTTTTTAAAAGCTAGGCTTTTTAGGGATTTATTTTTAGGATTTTTTTTAATATTTAAGCCAGTATTAGCTAGTACTTTTTTAAAAATAAAAATCCTTAAAAAGGCAGGAGTTTTAAAAATAAAAATCCCTAAAAAGGTAGGTACTTTAAGCACCTTGGGGATAAAGGTCCCTGGAAGGCTTAAAAATAAGGCCTTAAAAATAAAAATTTTTAAAGGGCTTAAAGTTTTAGTAACTCCTAGTAAGGCCTTAAAAATAAAGGTCCTTAAAGGCACTAAAGTAGTTACTTTTAAAAAATCTAGCTTAATATAGTAATTTTTAATAATATTAATATTATATATTAAAACCACGTGGCTATTATTTAAAAAAACTTGGTATAGCTTATTTATTTTTTTATTAAACCTAACTAGCCTTTTAGTTCTTGTTTTACCGTTTTTATAAAGCTTTTTTTACTTTTTTAGTAGGTTTAAAATATAGACCTTAAATTAAAAAATATAAATATAAGAAATATTTAGCTAGTAGCTATACTAGGCTTTAAATAATATAATATTATTTAGTATAAAATACAGAGTTTAATTATATAAATAACTAATATTTTTGTAAAACTTAAACTATATATTAGCTAGGGCTTTAGTATTATATAATATAAATTATATAAAGCTAAGTAGCTTATTAATAAACACTTTAATATAGCTATTTTATTTATACTAGTTTATATTAAATATTTTTATAATAGCTTTAAAGCTATAAATAAGGTGTTATAAGTTATAAATATTTTCCCCTTTTTAGTTATAGCATACGCGGTGTAACAAGAGTTTAGGCGTGTTATACTAGTAAATAATAAAAAAAGCCTAGGTAGTAAATTTATTCTTGCTAGCTAGCGCTATAACCTAGTAATAATAAAATTTATTATTTATAATAAAGTTAATATATACCTTTTTATTAAATAAAAGTAAATATAAGCCGGAAATATTTATATAAAATAATTTAAATAATTAATTAATAAGTATTATAATACCTTTATAAGGCTTAGCCTGCTAGCATGTAGTAATATAAAATTTATAAATATAATTTTTAAATATATGCATACCGCGGATTACCTTTTTTATTTTATTAAGCTAATTTTTAAAAGTATAGCTTATTTATTAGTGCTAAAGCTAGGAAAATTTATTTTAAAAAATAAAGGTTATTAATATAAAAATAGCCGGTATTACTAGGCCCTAGTAAAGGTTAAAAAAAATACTTTATAAACTTTAAAGGCCGTGTACTATATTAATTTATAATTATATAAAATAATAATATTAGCACCTTATAGCTTCTTAGCTTTTGTATTTTATTAGTTAAAGCTAACTAAGTAATACTTATTTAATAATTAGAAAATAAAAATTAGCATAAAAAATATATTAAGGTAATATAAAATATTATTTAAAGCCAGGATTTTAAGCTAGCTATTAATATAGTAAAAAATTTTAATAATATTAATACCCTAGGTGCTAAAAACTCTAGGGTTAATACCCTTAATACCAGGGCTAGTATAGGGCTTAAGGTCCTAAAATAAAAAGTAATTATAAGTAATATATTAGGCATAGCTATTATTTAAAATAATTTATTAAATAAGGCTATTTTAAATAATTTTTTATTTAAAATTTAAGCTAATTTAAATTATAAGCGCTAGCTTAAGCGTGGGCTTTATATTTTTCCTAAATTTAAAGTTTTTTTAGGGGTGCTTAGCACCCTTACCACCCTAAAAGTTTTTTTAAATAGTTTTAAGCTTGGGATAAAATTAATAATAAGTTTTTTAATTATAAAATAATATATTATAATAAAAATAATAATATATAATAATATCCGCGGTGCCCTTATTTTTATATATTTAAATAATATTAAGGTAGTTTTTATAATATTTAATATTAGGCTTAAATACCTTATTAAAAAAAAGCGTTAAAGTACTAGTACCCTGGTTTTAGTTTAATTTAATAAACTTAGTAATAATTATAAAGTTATTTAAAAAGGTAATTAACATAGTAATATCCCCTGGGAGGCATTTAATAACATAGTTATTAAAATATATAGCCTTAAAATAATTAAATTAATTACCTAGGGCTTAATAAAAGGTGGTAATAATAAGTTTAATTAAAAAAGTAATATTAACACGGGTAAATTTTTACTAGATTTTTTTAAGTTTCTTGCTAAAATTAAAAATACTTTTATTATAAAATAAGGATATTAAATTAGCCCAGGCCTTAAAAATTATAATATTAATATTAAGTTTAAAATAGCTTTTAATTTTATTAAGTAGCTTATACACTATTTACTTATTAATAAAAAAATTTTATAAATTAAAGCTTAAATAATTAAAAATTAAAACCATGGCACAGTCCTAGTTTTATTACTAAATTTTAATCTTATTATAGTTTACTAGTAGCATGGGCTTAGTAATAGCTTTAATAGCAGGCTAAGCAAGAGGCTATATAAAAAATATAGTAATAATTAAAACTTTATTATTAATACTTATATTTTTAGCTTAGCTTATAATAAATTATTAACTAAGGGTTTTAGTATCTCTGCCTACTAAAGTTAATATAATAAAAAAGGGATTAATAGGGGTTTTTACAGGGCGCCTTTAATTTAGTTACTTTAAAAAATAGTTATAGCTAGCCTTTTAAAGCTTTAAAAATATCTATTAATTTTATTTAACCTACTAGTTTTTTAATATTAAAACTGGGATATTTTTTACTTTAATTAAGGTTATTTTTTTTATTTTAGCTTAGTGTAAAAAAACTAAATATAAAAAAATTAAATAGTAAAAAAATTAAAGTGGTCTGGGAACCAGGGATTAAAATACTTAAAAATTAAAAATTTAAGGTAGTTAAAAATAGTAAGCCCTAAAAAGTTATTATAATAAAATTAAGGTTAAATAGGCTAAAGCCTATACTAGAATAGTTATATAAAAAAAAAAAGTTAATAACTAAAAATAGCTAGTTAAATATTTAAAGGTTAATTTAGATTTTTAAAAAATAGTTAAAGTTAAAGTTTAAATTAAAAAACTTAAAGGTGTTATACTACCTTTAAAGGTTTTAAAACTCTTTAGTTATTAAAAAAACTTATTTTTATTAAAAAATTAAATGTGTTTGGCCCTAGGAAGCAGGTATTTTTAAAATTAAAAGCTAATTAAAAAGGTAAAAAAAAAATAAAGATTTTTATATAAAATAAAATAAAGTTATAATATTTATACCCTAGTAGTAAAGGCCTTGCCCTAAGTATAAGGCTTTTTAATTATTATAATAATTAATAAAGTTAAAAAAAATATAAAGCTAAATAAATAAAATAAAAAAATATTATATATTTAGTTAGTATAGGTTAACTTAAAAAAAAAAAACTTTTAATTAGGTATATAAGTTAAGTAAACCCGGGCTTATAACCTACTAAAAAAAATAATTAATTATAATAGGTAAAAGTCTCTTGTATTACATAGTATGCTAAGCTAAATATTTTAAGAATAAATAAAAAGTTTTATAGGTAGCTATTTAGGCCGGAAGAACCTTTTTTTACCGGAGCCCTAAGGCCGCCGGTGGCCTCAGGCACCCACTTCCAGCAGGGCATACACTTGGTGTCATCGTGGTCTGCTTCAGCCGACAGATGGTCAATTGGACCACCGTCCAGTGGTCTAATTGGTATTACAGAGACAGTGATGGATACGATGAATTGTCTTTGCAGGGCCGGGTCATCGTGATGAACCACCATTTATATATCCATGAACGGCTAAAGAATTGACCTACTAGCATTGCGGGGAATGAACAGGAGCAGTTAGGACAGGGCCTGAGTTACCCCAGTCACCCAGGGCTTGAGCCTACCATGCACTATGGTAATAAAACGACTGGGCAGTCTATGGTATGTCGTGTAAAGCATTCATGTACATGGATATGTCTGCCAAATCTCCGCAATCCCTCACAGCCGCGACTTGCTCTCCTCCCGGCCTAAGAGGTTAACATGCGGCGACCGAATCGGCCGAGTCACAGCATAGAATGCCAGCCCCTGGGACTTGGTCGAGAACTATGGTACAATTGACACAGTCAGCACTGTCCAGAGCCGATTCCATATCCAAGAAAGCGTGGTAGGGAGTCCAACAAACCTTAACCTTCGACCCAACATAGAAGAACGCAAAGTCCCCCGGCACAAGGTGGTGCGTGATCCCCGTGGCCTCGTCCTACGCCGTGCAATGTCAGCCCCAACCCTAACTACCTCTCAGATCCCACCCATGTCCTTATGCAAAGGCAAACATACCAAAACATCAATCTGCCCGCTGAGGACATACTTCGTTTCCTCGTAGGTATAGTGCGCCGGCCGCTGCGCCCCTGCCTCGATCTTGTAGAACCCGGATGTAATGTGTGCAGGCGACTCGGTTTTCGTCCGGGTGGAGTGGAAGTCCGCTGTGATGGCGTTTTCGCCGGCGGGGAGCTGGATGAATTCGTGGCCGGCGCCTTTGATCACGGTTAGGGGGACGAGGGGGGATGTGGACACTGGGTGTGGGTTAGGTCAGTTTGGTCTGAGAGCCTGGGGGGTAGCGGCTTACTCTTGGCTTTTCTGGGAGGACTTGGAGCTTAGAGCTGAAAGTCTCCTTCTTGTTCTCCCTCTTTATATGGAGTTGCGTGTACTCGGGAGGTTTCCCGGTGCGGGGCGTGTCGGGAGGGTTTCCCGATCGTAGATAGGTACTTGGAGTACCTCTTCTCCGCGGGAAGTGCGGAGAAAACATCTTTGACGATATAATAAGAGGCGAGGGGCCGGAATTCTTCAAGGATATGTGGAATATACTGCACCTGTGGCTTTTGTCTGGCGAAGAGACCATTTTGTTCTACCGTGGTGGTGGAGGAATTCTCCAAGCAGATACGGTATCATAGCCACCTGCTTCTGTGCCCCAGAAGTGAAAGGTCTCGGTCCTCCTTTGCTGGCCTAGACCGAGAGACCATGAAGCAATTTTTATCAGGTTGATTCACGTTCTCTGGGCAAGGTCCCCTGGTGACCCTGTCCAGACAAGCTACTGCTACTTAGCAATTAGGGTACTACAGGCGGGAACTTCACCATAAGGCTAGCATTATTCGCCAGTCTCCTGGTATATTCAAGAAGCAGACATCTCTGTCAGAGCCATCACAGTAAACCCAGGACAGAATAACAATCTCTTGTCCCTGACCTTACTGCCTTCACTTACCATAGCACACCATCCTCTGCCCAACC